GGTCCAACAATTGCAGCCATTTCTGTTGTATTTGATCATGCTGAACATGAAGATGTTTACCAGACATGTATTGATGGATTCTTAGCTGTCGCAAAGATTTCAGCCTGCCATCATCTAGAAGATGTCCTGGATGACTTGGTTGTCTCTCTCTGTAAGTTCACAACCCTTTTGAACCCATCATCTGTTGAGGAGCCTGTGCTAGCCTTTGGTGATGACACGAAAGCTAGGATGGCAACTGTCACTGTCTTTACAATTGCAAATAGATATGGTGATTATATTCGTACGGGTTGGAGAAATATTTTGGACTGTATATTACGGTTGCATAAGCTTGGTCTTCTTCCAGCTCGTGTGGCCAGTGATGCAGCAGATGAATCTGAGCTCTCTGCTGATATTGGACATGGAAAGCCTATTACAAATTCTTTGTCTGCAGCTCATATGCCATCAATGGGAACTCCAAGGAGATCTTCTGGATTGATGGGCCGATTCAGTCAACTGTTATCACTGGACACAGAGGAGCCAAGATCACAACCTACTGAACAACAACTTGCTGCTCATCAACGAACTCTTCAGACAATTCAAAAATGTCATATTGATAGTATATTTACTGAAAGTAAGTTTCTGCAAGCTGAATCTTTATTGCAGCTTGCACGTGCACTCATTTGGGCTGCAGGGCGACCACAAAAAGGGAGTAGCACTCCGGAGGATGAGGATACTGCAGTTTTCTGCCTGGAATTGCTTATTGCAATTACCCTAAACAACCGAGATAGAATTGTGCTTCTGTGGCAGGGTGTTTATGAGCATATAGCTAATATTGTTCAGTCCACTGTCATGCCTTGTGCACTGGTAGAGAAGGCCGTTTTTGGTCTCCTCCGAATCTGCCAGAGGCTGCTTCCATATAAAGAGAATCTTGCTGATGAACTTTTGAGGTCACTGCAGCTTGTCTCAAAGCTGGATGCTCGTGTAGCTGATGCATACTGTGAACAAATTACTCTGGAAGTAAGTCGCCTAGTGAAAGCAAATGCTGCTCACATCAGGTCCCAAATGGGGTGGAGAACAATCACGTCTCTACTTTCTTTCACAGCTCGGCACCCTGAAGCTTCTGAAGCTGGATTTGATGCTTTGTTGTTCATCATGTTAGATGGAGCTCACTTGTTACCAGCCAATTATATTCTCTGCACAGATGCTGCAAGGCAGTTTGCTGAGTCTCGTGTTGGACAAGCAGAGCGGTCCGTCCGTGCCCTAGATCTTATGGCCGGTTCTGTTAACAGTTTGGAAAGGTGGGCCTGTGAAACAAAGGAAACAATGGGAGAGGAGGAAGTTGTTAAAATGTCGCAGGATATTGGGGAGATGTGGCTGAGGCTTGTACAAGGATTGAGAAAAGTTTGTTTGGACCAGAGAGAGGAGGTCAGGAACCATGCTCTTCTCTCATTGCAGAAGTGTTTGACAGGAGTTGATGGTATCCAACTTGCTCATGGTTTGTGGTTACAATGTTTTGATCTTGTTATCTTCACGGTGCTTGATGACTTGCTTGAAATTGCCCAGGGCCACTCTCAAAAAGATTACCGAAACATGGAAGGTACTCTTACCCTCGCTGTGAAGTTACTTTCAAAAGTGTTCTTGCAGTTACTCCCTGAACTGTCACAGTTAACAACCTTCTGCAAGCTATGGTTGGGTGTTCTCAGCCGAATGGAGAAATATATGAAGGTAAAGGTTAGAGGCAAAAAAAGTGAGAAACTTCAGGAGACAGTACCTGAGCTTCTTAAGAACATCTTGCTTGTGATGAAGACAAAGGGAGTGCTTGTACAAAGGAGTGCCCTCGGTGGAGATAGCTTGTGGGAACTGACATGGCTCCATGTGAATAATATCGCTCCATCTTTACAGGCTGAGGTGTTTCCTGACCAAGATATGGGGCAGTCACAGGTCAAGCTGGGTGAAACAGCTGGAAGTTTGGTGTCTGATTCTGGCCATTCAAGTGAAACAGTGGCCTCTGAAGGAGCTGGTTCAGCAGGTTAGGCTTCTGTAGAGTAATTCTGTTATTCAGAATCAGTTTGTTATGGCATGTTGTAATGAGAGTGTAGCCCGGAGTATCAGACTGCTCTTTCAAGGTATTTTATGCCCAGAAATTGGAGAAATAATGGCGTTCATGGTTGAGATTCATTAGATCCGGATATAGGTTGGAACAGCTAGGTGCAGATTGGCACAATTAAAGGAAGCTGAGAGATTGGGATTTTCCTGATGTTGGTGAAAGTTTCTAGATACTCCATTTTCATATTTTGGTTACCGTAGTTTTGCTGTGGAACCTTGTCGATGTGTATAGTAGTATTGTTAATGCCTGAGGAAAGGGGACGCCAATGGTTTTGTGGTCCTCCACGATCTCACGCAGTCTCAGCAGAGAAGGAATTAAAACTTTACTATTTTGAATATGCGAAAAGGGATAAATCATCAAAATCCCTGGAATTTAAGGCTATAAATTTGTATTTGCTTCTCAAATGATGTAAAGGACTCTGGAAGTGGAGGTTTGGAAAAGAAAGTTTCTCTGTGATTCTATTGATTCAAATGTTAAGTGTGTAACTAATTTTTCCAAGGTTTCATGACCTGGAACCTTAGGTGGAATTGAGCTCTTCCTGTCTCTCTTCTTGGAAGGACTGTAAATGCCTCGAAGAAATACAGCGGATTTTCAATTTTGTTGGGGGGAACATGGACTCTGCTGAGCTCTAACATATTACATCATTGTAATAGTCAAATCATAATTGATGATACTTTCTAAAATTCAAATATCAGCTTAATAATGATTTTCTAGTTGCAGTAATTCATTTTCACCTGCAAGTAAGTGGAGTTCACTAGTGAATTCGACTAGGAGACATACTATAAACTTATTAAAGCGAAGAGAGAGCACCCCCACGTTAGCGAAACCAATTTTGTGTTTCAATAGAGAATTTATAATTCATAATAATGAGTTACAGTTTTTTCTCTGTCAACAGAAGTTTCACTGATGCTCGATTCCTACAACATTAGCTTTTTTATGATCTTTGAGTAACACCATATTGAATTTCATTATTGTTTTTCAAAGGGAGAGAAATATATCAAAATTTATCTTGCGAGTAGAATCACAAAAAACAAATCTCTCTCATTAAATTATAATAAAGTTATGGACTTCACACTTATTAGAACCAATTTGAATCTTATTTATTGTTTTAGTGGATCAGTTCCTAAACTTGATGAGGGAAAATGTACAAATTTACAAAGGACGTTTAGAAAACATAACACCGTTATACTAGTTATTTGTGAAAATTACTCTTAACAAATTATTAGATTTCGAGAACTATATTGAAGTCCTATTTATTAGTGGTGGTTCTTTTAGGAGTCTGTTGATATTGATTTTAGGGTATACTCTTAATGGTTGATGTTTTAGATATATATGAAATATTATCCTTATAGATAGATAACTTGAGAGCTCAAGTGAGTTGAAAGATTGTAATGTTCCGATTGTAGGTTGCTAAATGAAGAAGTGATGAAAATAGAAGTCATGAAGAAGAAAGATGAGCATGTATTATTATTATTAGACGGGTCTTTGCCTAGAACCAACACGGAAATGCAATTTCCACTTTAAGGAGAAGAAAAGGAAATTAAAATTTATTAGGTTGTTTATGGTTAATTAACAATTATCTAAGTTATAATTTTTAATTGTTCATTATTTAAGACACATAAATGAAATTTAAGTTCATTTTCTTTCAAATCTTTCTATACATTCTCCATTTTTCTTCAAACCGTTCATTTTTCTTTCATTTTTTTCTTTTTTTTATGAAATCAAAATCTAGGAAAGTTAGGAAGAGAAAAAGGAAAATTAAATAATGATTTTTTAGAAAATGAGAAGACAAGAAAATTAAATTTAAGTTGTACTCTTGATGTGTATTCTATGGTTGCAACATTATTTTTTTATAAATGGTAATTAGGTGATAATTATAAAATAATCTTAATTAAAATTCAATGTAATTAATTATAAAAGAATCTTAATTAAAGAATAAGCAAATAATTGAATGTTTAATTTTAAAATTAAAAAATAAAATATCAATTCTAAAAATTATGGTACTGTATTCTATCCATAAACCAAATTAGGTTATTTACACAAGCAAAAGTATGCTTCTTGGAGCATATATTCTCTTATTAATATTTTGAAAGTCATAAATGATAATTTAATATTTTGTCTTCTAATAAATAATTTTTTAAAATATAAATATAAATATAGTCTATGTACTATTTATTTGTCTTTAGTTTAATCTCTATTTTAAATTTTTATTAATTTAGTTCCTATACTTTTCGAATAATATTCGAGTTGATCTCTTTTTTTTATTAATATCAAAAGTTGTTAACTTCAAGTTCTACATGTAGAATTTATGGATTCCTGAAATTTTTTGATGTGCTATTAGGTCTGTCAAATAAACACCTAATATTTTCTAATATGTTTTTAAGTCTCGTCAAATGTACATAACATTTGATATGGTAGAAAAAAATTTATGTGAACTGGTTCAAATGATTTCATATTACAAAAAAAACTCAAATAAATTGAAATGAGCAATACTACTCCATAGTTCTAAAACTGCTCTTTCAGCTTCATCTATATCTATTCTTGAAATTTCTAATTAATATTCTTTTTATACTACATCACTGGTTTGAACAAATTAATCTTATAATTCCTACTGAAGTGATGGTCAAGATCATAAATCACACTAACTAATTGAATTTTGGGCTTAGCAGAAAAGGCTCGAGCTTGTAAATCGGGGTAGTTGATAAACTAACCGATGACCAACTTGAGAAGGAATGCACCGCTGGTGATGGAGGAGCAAGAGAAACCCTAGTTCTTGCGAATGTAATGATTACTGGCTTGACTTGGTACAAGAGCCGTTGGATGGTCTTGTTGTCAACTTTCAAGTTGAGCTCTTGAGTGAGCCAGAAATTGTTGGTGATGCATGCCGATGGAAGTAAGATTCTCCATTTCGTACCCTCCACCTTTGCATTGCAGTCTTTGGGCTTTGAAATTAAAAGACGATGGTGTTTTAAGACAATGTTCGATTATTTTTTTTTTTAAGTGGGTTGATCTGCTCCATTTAGATCGGTTGTAGACATTTTGAAATTACCACTCATCTTGCTTGAATTTATGGTAGAACAAGATCTGAGATTTTGAACTTAGTTTTACAGAATCTCTATACATGGGAGAGAGGAGAAAAAAGGAATTAAAGATTAGAGATGTGACTAGTTTTTTTTAGATGAATAAATATGAACTGCTTAATGTGTAATTTTTTTTAATAGATTAGATATCATGTGACGTCTAATGTGGTTTAATAGTTTAGGAAAAGATGTCACATGTAAAAAAATATTACACATATTATTTAGAGTTAATAATATTAGATATTAATAATGAAAAAATATTAATTCAAATATTATTTGAAAGGACATGGACTAATTAATGCAAAATTAACGTAAATACCAAATAAAAAAAATAATATTATAAGAATTAAATTTGTATTTTAGTATGTTTTTTTTAAAATTTTGTAAATTTATTACATATAGACTAATAATATAATAAAAAATAATATACAAATAAAAATATGAAGGATCATAATTTAAATAAAATTCATAAATTTTTTGTAGAGAAAAAGATATAGTAATTATTGAATTATGTAATTTTTAGTAGTACAGTAAACAAGTTGATTAGTGATTCCATAGTAATTATTATTACCACAAATTCACAATTTACCCGTTATGACTATATAGAAGTTATTACTAAAATTTTAATTCACAATAATTAGGGACTTAAAACGCACCGTTTTATCTGCTACTGTTTCCCGGCTTTACCGACAAGTTACCGAACGGATGAAATCTATGTAGGATGTACGGACGTTCCTTTTGCTCTCTTTCCGCGAAGCTCACAGCAATTCTTCATCTTCCTCTTCTGCAACTCCCTTCTCTCTCTCTCTCTCTCTCTCTCTCTCTCAATCAATTCTGACCTAACTTTCACCCGCCTGCAATGCTTTTTTAAGAACCTTCCTTTTCCTTATTAACCATCTGCTTCTACGGACGGCCCCTACTCTTCTCCTTCATCAATCTTCAGTATTAACTAGAGCCCGCTGCCCGATTCCGTTTTCAGATCCTCTTCATATTGCTTTACTCTGTTTGGTGGCCGCCGATTCTACATCTCTAAGAAGATGAGCGATGTCTTCGAAGGTTACGAACGTCAGTACTGCGAGCTCT